GTAGGGGTGACGGGAGTGTGGAGCGAGCAGGGTAATAAAGTTCCCATATTGACTTCACCAGGTACTCTGTGCTGAGCTTGGAACACTCAGGTCCTCAGACCTGTGTTAGTGCAGGTCTGCCAAGTGCAGCCAGTGCTCCAGGCCTCCAAACTGCTTGTGTATGCGGCCGGGTGCATCCTGCACCCAACCCAGCTGCATATGCGAAGTCATATAAATGATTTTTTTTTTTTTTTAAAAAAAAAAAAGTATTGGTTAGCATGATCCAGACCCGGTGTGCTTACACTGCTGCTTGAAAAGCAGCTGGAAAGGGCAGAGCGGCTGCAGCAAGGCCACCAAGGGCTGGGACTGGGGGAGCCTGTCCTGTGGATGCGAGGGACAATGCTGCTGTGGGTGGGGAGATGGCCTGGTGATGGGGTCCAGTGGCTGAAAAGTCACTAGGAAGACAATTTTCCTTTACTTTTCTCCTCTTGAGATGAGTTACTGCAGGGGAAAAGGCTGATTGATGAAAACTTTGTGGCAGGAGACTGCTGCAGGGCCGGGGCAGAGGAGCTCGGCTGGGATGCGGGAGCCTGCGGGCAGGGGAGGGCAGCTGCCCGGGCCCCGGCAGTGCTGAGACGCCAGCACGCAGGGATGCACACCAAACCCACACCGACTGCACGTCACTGCGGGGCCGGGGGGGCCGGGCGTCACTGGGCTCGGCTCCCGGTGAAGCCTGCGTCACCAAGTGTCACATTTCATGGCCTGATTAGATGGCACTTGGCCATGGCACTGAGTGCAGCAGCCCAGGATGGAGGAACAGGGATGGTTTGTGAGTTAGCTCTGCTCCCTGAGGCAGCAAATACCTTGTGCCTCTGCTCCATCCTCTGCGAGGGGTGCCAGGATCTGTCCGTGGGCAGGAGGAGCAGTGCAATCCCACGGGAGCTAACAGAGGGGCAATATTTTTCCGTGGCTGGGCTGGTTTAAGCCTCCAGAACTCACCCGTGGGGCTCACCCACAGCTCTGGAGGCCACAGCATGTCTTTAGAAACTTCCATGAGGGGTCTCTGCCGAGCCCAGCACATCTCCCAGGTCTTGCAAATGCCCTGTGGGACCTCCTGCCTCGCATTTCTCTTGGCCTCTGTGGAGAAGTGGCCTTATCTGGCCACCTCGGGCTCCAGTTCCCGGTGCAAAAGCCTCCTGCCAAGCCTGTCAGTGACTTCCTACTTTTCCCCAGCAAACAGCGATGTCCAATCCCAAAGTGAGCTGTCGTGAAGCACAGGGGCCACAGCATGGTTAACTGGCCTCTGTGGTCCCACTACAAACTGCGGGTGACATGCCAGCCCCCTGGGAAAGGGAGGCAGGATGGGGTGGCATCAGGCGACGAGGCTCTGCGGGGCACAGTTGGGAGCCCAGTGGGATTCAGAAACACGACATGCCTTTGGGAAAGGCTGGTGGGAAGCAGTTCAGGTAGTGTGCAAAAATAAACAGGGAACCTCCAACCCTGCAGCCAGGCTGCCATTACCTACCCCGTTCTCTCCTACAAATGGCCATAGTGTTTTATGGTGGTTTCACCCCTCTTCAGATTAGGAATATTTGGGTTCTTTCCCACCAGTGACCTTTTCTGCATCATTTCTATTAGGGTAGCAATAGATTGTTTCCCTCTGCTATCAACACATTCTGTTAGGGAAGGAATGGGAGAGCCCAAGTCTGATACCAAAATTCAGAGATGGGCTGGCTGGGTTGTGAAAAGCAGTTGAAAGGCTTGGGCTGGTGGGAGAGGTGAAAGGCCTGCATGCCTGCTGCTTCCCTCCCAGCTGCTGAAAAGCTGGCAAAAATTGCCATAAGCCAAAAACACCCCTCCTGAACTGGAGACTGCTGCAAAGGGAAGGGGCAAGGCGAGTCACCCGTGATGGGAGGTTGCACGGGGTATATTTTGCTCTGAGCGGGCTGCAGACAGCCCAGCGGGTGCCCTGCTGCCCGGGGTCTCCCTGTCAGGAGCAGGGATGCTGCTTCTGGACAGGTCTGACGGAGAGGCTGGGTTTCTGCATGGGAGAAAGAAAGAAAGAAGAAAAATGAGTGCAAGCAATCGAATTGTCTAATGGAAGTGGAGAAACTTGGAGGACAGGCAGGATGGGTGGGCATCTGCCTTGTCCTGGCCTGGCTGCCCATGGCCAGGGGTGCATCCTTAGAGACAAACATGCAACCCATATGTTGGGCAGAGAGGCTGAGATGGTGGAGCAGTGTTGCCCCTCAGCAGGACAAACCCTGGGTATCCTTCCTGCCTCCTCTCCCTCCTGCCTGCTCTGGCACACGTCTCTGCGGGCAGCATGTCCCTGGTGCTGAGTGAGCCCCACACTTCCAGCTGCATCGCCCTGAGCATCCTCACTGCCCTCCCAGGGCCAGCTCCAGCAAAGCACCTGCAGAGGCTTCCTCCTTTCTGCTGCAGGTGGGACTGGCAGGGGAAGGTGTGATAATCCTCACCTTTGAGGCCACAGTAATTGTTCACACCAAACTGCAAACACTTTGATATCGGTCATGAAAGACACCAAAAAATAAGCAAGTTTAAAGATATATATTCAATCAATGTCTATAGAGCTTAACACAAGGGGATTACCAGCCAGTTTAGAGCGTTAGTGACTCTCAGCATTCATCAGAGGAGACCATTTGGTTGAATTGAAGCCAGCCTTTGATGGAATTGGAGAATAATTATTTCCATCAATAATTACTTCCAAGCCCAGAAGAAATGGTTCCTAGTGTGCTACAGGACAGGAGTCCTTGGTTGCTTCAGGGCCAATATGTTTTAATCCCAGGACCTGAAAATCCCATTAGTGGGAGCAGAGGCCAGGGCAAGAGGGACGTGGTCCGCCGTGCCCGGGTGCCTCCTGCAAGGCAGCGGTCCCCCAGCGTGCCGCCAGCCCAGGGAGGAACCCTCCTGCCTCCGCTGCTGGAGCTGATCCAGCCCAGACTTTGCACAGGTCATTAATTTGGGGACATTTTTAATGGATCCTAATGATTGAGCCTCAGAAGACTGCTCTTAAAAGGGGTTCGGGAAAGGCCACAAGCTAATTAGCTCATACAAAGAAAGCAATTAACCATGTAGCTTCCCGGATGGTTAAAAATAACATAGATGTTGAGAAGCGACTGGGGGATTTATTACAAGCAGAGTAATAGATTTTTAAAGCCAGAGGGACGATCACATCCTGCATGTCTCGGGCCAGAAGTGTTTCACCCAGCTTCCCCCACACTGACCCCTGTTGCTTGTACTGGCTGATGCACATCCTTAAATGTTCAGGCATTACAAACTGGGCTCCAAGAAGGAGTCAGCTATGAGAGAAAGTGGGAGTTTGCTGAAAGAGAAAACACAGGTGGAAAGAGAGGGATGACACTTCTTCTGCAGGTGCTCCTGTGCCAACTCCAGCCCTGAAAAAGCATTGCTCATGGCTGGGGCAGGCAACAGGATGTTCCCTGGGGCATGCAAACCCCTGGCCGTGCCTAACCTGTGCTGACATGCCATTTTAGCATCACATTGCTCTTTAACCACTCTCTTAGCCCCATTTAGCCACTCAATGTGCAGCATGCACCTGGCCCGGACTCCTTGTTCCTATCCCCACAGCCCATGTGTGATGGCTGTGACGGTCTCTGCAGCCAAACCAGCTTCCCGTCATCCCTGAGCCACTGTGGCTGCAGGCTCGGGCAGGGACACATCCCAGCCTTCCCCTGCTCCAGTGGGGTCCCCGTGACCCAGGGACTTCGGTGTGCTGCTTTCCGAAGGGAGGAGGTAGGCTGGGTGGGAGATGCAGCAGTGGGACCTTGCAGAGCTGATCTGGAGATGGCTAAACCTCAAAGCAGCACCCATAGCCCATTCCTGATATTGGCTTCAAAATGATAATGGGAAGAAACGGGGACACTTTCACTGCCAGCTGAGCCCAACCCACCATCCATACCACCCCACAGCCATGTTGGGCTGGGACACGCTGATGCTTGTATTTATCCAAATAATATTCTGGATGACACCAAAACCATAGCATTCTCAGCACCCTGGCTGGGTATGGTTTATGGCTTTCCATTAATCACTCTGCTCTTTGAAATAAACCTCTCCAGGGCCTGGAAACCTATTTACTTTCCTCTCAAGTGTCTGAGCTCAGGATCGTTTGGGTTAGTTTTCTCCATTTGGCTTACTTTTCTCCATTTCAGCTTGCCCTGCTCAAGCCCCACTGTTTTTTGGGGATATCTCACCCCAGGCTTTCCCTGCCCTAGCTCTTCTCCTTGCCAGCTCTCATGGACCCCCAAGGGCTCTTACAGGCACCTGCCTGACCCAGGTGGCTCCCCTAAGATCTGCTGGGCTGTCCCAGGTTCTCCAGTTTGGGCTTTCAGCAGGACCAGGTGTGTTTACTGGCCCAGCACCCTATTTGTAGAAGCAGAGAGGAGGGCTGTTCTATGGCTGCCAAAAGCTTGCTTCTATCTGGGTGCTGGCAAAGGGGATAGGATGAAGATGTGTGGCAAGGTATTAGCAATGCAATAGGAGGTTTGGAGAGTGGCATTTGAAATGCAGAAGCTTTTTTTCTACGAGAGTGCAAGACCAGGGCTGTCTCTGCAGAGCTGGTGAGCTAAAGCCCACAACACAGAAGAAGATGCCCAGGGGTGCTGGTCTGATTAGCTACCATTGTCCCTTGCTGTTGTATTGAATCTGGACCTTGTGCTGGCCACGCAGTGTGGTGCTACCCAGCTGCTCCTGGGCTGCATGACGCTCACTGCATCTCTGCCTGAAAACTGAGCACAGCATGCCCCATGCTGCGGCTTGGGTTGGCTTGGAAATGGGGCTTTCTGGAGCATTTCCTACTGCTGGGCTGAGCACCACGGGCTCGGGAGGCCAGAGGGCAGCCTGCAGATCTCCTTCCTGACAGCACGGGTCCTACCTGTGGAAAGGAAAGGGGATTACCCAGTACATGGGGAACCTGCAGCCAAGGCGTCCAGCTAAATGGACAGTTCTTTATTGCTCTTGCTCAACTCTTGCTCCTGCAGTGGGACGCTCAGCTGCCTGCCATACACTGCAGAGGACAGACGTCCTGAAAAGCTGAGTGGCCGCACAGTCAAGGAGGCCTCCACCGCCAACGGCTGTGCGAAAGGGAAGGACAGACGAGACCATGCTCGCCACAGATCACGCAGGTAGGAGCCAGGGCTGTGAGCAGGGTCACCCTGAAGCAGAGGGATGGGCGAGGAGGCATCTGTGACTGCTTTCCCAGCCTCGCTGGGAGTCAGTGAGGACTGGGCATTGCTTAAATGACCGTGTTAATGCACAGCAAATGTATGCAATTGTATGAAACTCCCGTGCATGTTTGCAGGGAGAAATCTGCAGTTCTGCAGTTCACTTCGACTCCATGTCTTGCTCTTACAGCCCCCTTGCAAGTAGCCCTGGAAGACAAGCAACCTGCCAACATCCCTGTGCACTATCAGGTCTGCAGGCTACCCCTGGCTGGGCATCACCCTCAGCAATTCCCCATGCCTAGATCAGACCAGCAGCATTGGCTTCAATAGGACATGGCTTCGTTATCAGTTTGTTGTTAGCCCCTGACAACTTGAGAGGAGAAAAATGAATCAAACACTGTAAATGAAGCAGATAGGGTCTCTGAGCCCTGTCTGCTAAACTACCTCTGGGATTAAGGCATCTCTGGTTAAAGACACTGGAAAGAAAGAGCATGAAAGCACATTTCATATCTTCAGATTTCAGGCTAACCGGAACAATCACCTAAAACATATTTTTAATTAGACTTTGATTACAATCATGGAGAAACAATTAAAATCAGATCAGCGCAGGGAGAAAACTTCCACATCACAGACAAAAGGCAAGAGCGTGAAGCACTCTAAGAAACCACCTGTGGCTGTACAGCAGTCACAAGTTTCTCCCTGCTCTCCCTGGACCATGGCAGTGCCTGGCCATGGCTCTGGGCAAGATGGGGCTGAGACGCAGCTGGGTCTGTTTTCTGAGGAGCTCAGATCTGCATCAGGGGAAAGCACACGGGAGCTGGGGTTGAGCACCCTCATAACTAAAGGGCTGAGATGGGTGCTCGTGTCCTTGGTCTAGGACAGACTTTTAGGATGGCTTTGGGGAGATGTCCAAGCTTAGCAACAATAAGGTGAGTTGGAAAATACATATTTTCTACCTTAATCCAGAAAAAAGACCCACCAAGCCCGAAGTGTGCCATATCTCCCAGCAGCATTTGTGCCAGTCAGGGAAATCTTTGGGAGGAGAAAAAGTGTGAAGGAGTATTTGGGTGCTCCTTGGAGCAATGATGTGGTTGCACCTCAGATTTACTGCACCAGAAACACTCAGCACAGTTATTCACAGTTCACAACTGAAGCATTAGTCTTGTTTTGCAGAGCAATTTGGAGGGGGGGAAAAAAAAAAAAAAGGGTATTAAAAGCACTAAGCAATTGGCTTTCTAAGGTAGAGTGATTTTTGATAGTAATTCAAGCCCTGGGTGAACAAGTGTCAGGGGGGGCACCCACCGCTGATGGGTCATGACATTTGCTCCTGCGCTAGAACTGTTATTAAACATAATATTTATTCTTTCTGCAGAAACTGCTCAATTTTTGGCCTGTTTCTGTAGCGAAGATCCCACAGTGTTTTCCAAACATAGGGCTGCCTTAACTCATTTGCACTAGCGGCAAGTCCTGCCGGAGGGGTGAGAAATGGGGAAACCGAGGAACAAACCCAGCACCCTCATTTCCAACAGTGTCTGCCCTTTTCTTAGGGTTGCCAGTCCCCAGTTTTGCAGAGACCCTGGGGACCTGGCTGTGCCCCCTGGAAACTTTGTCCCTGGATCCATTTGGGGACCCACAGACAGATCTGGGGGTCAGTTTGGGGATCTGCAGGCCTCCGCCCGCTGTCCCCCCTTCTTTATGAGCATTTGCTCTGGTTAATGATACCCGCAGCGTATCTGTCATTTTCAGCCCAGTGCTCTGAAATAATTTAACTGTGGTATTTGATTTTCATTGAAACATAACACAATTCAGTATTGTGTGTTTAAAAAAATAAATTAATTTATGGGAGTTGGTTTTTTTTTTTTTTTTCCCCAGGATTTAACAACAGTGTAAAAGATGCATATCTCATTAAATTACCATAACACCTCAATAATATATATATATTTCTAATCGTTATTTAACATATGTCAAGTCTTTTATTATAGTTAGATGCATCTGGTTGCAATAATTATTGTATGCAAATTAAATGCCAATTAATTATTTAAAGCGTATTTGCAAAGAGCAACAAAACCTATAAATCTGTTACGGAGCTGTTAACCTCAGCAAACACATTTTAAATAATCAGCTGGCATGGCCGTGGCGTACAGTAGCTGACTCATTATATCTCCATTAGACCCACGGAGGAGACACTTCATTTAAACTGTGACCAAATTATTCGTTAGAGGGTAATTAGGCACTCACCTGCGCCCCAGGTCCACCGTGAAAACTGATCTCTCTGCCCCAGATGTCCCTGAGGTGGTGATGGGAGAGAGGAGTCCCATGTGAGCTCATTTCAGGTTTTATTTTTATTGGTTTTAATTTTGATTTGTTTTTTTTTTTTAACTCAATCTTCAGCCCCTCATGCGATGGGGAGCGCACACTGCCACCAGCCCGGGGGAAGAAGAAGAAGAAGAAATCCGGCCGCAAGAAGCGAAGGAGGTGAGGGTGGCCATGGTGGCGTGTGGGACAGGAGGGGACAGGCAGCCCTCAGCTCTGTGTGAGGGAGGAAAGCCGGTGTAAAATGGAGGCTGGATACCTCCTGGGGAGGTGCAGGGGGCTGGCTTTCCACAGGCCCGGGGAGGCGCCGCCATTTTCTCACCCTCTCCTCGGGAGGCCAGGCTGGGACTCACCCCACAGCCCATCCTTGGGGGCCCCGGGAGCCCCTGGCCCCTCTCCACCAAGGGGGAATGCTGCTGGTGGCGGGGTAAGGGTTGGGGTGGCCAGGGAGGGCTGTGGGGGGAGCCCTGCAGTCCCTAACGCCCCTCTGCCTCCTCAGGTCTCCCTCCTACAGCCCCTCGCCTGTGAAGAAGAAGAAGAAGAAAAGCTCCAAGAAGCGAAAAAGACACAGGTATTTTTCCCTTGAAAACATAATTCCCTGCTGGCAGAAGCTGTTGGGAGGGTTTGGGCAAGGGGTGGAAGGCATTACTGCCATCGGGCAGATGGTCGAGCCCAGTGCCAGGAGTCAGAGAGAGGCATCAAGCTCTCAAATGGCTGCCCAGGGGAGAGGGCCCTGCTGGGAGGTGAAAGCCAGCCAGCCGAGGACAGGCAGAGCCAGGGTCCCTCCGAGCAAGGAGGGCGTGAAATGGGGCGCACACCCGGTGCGAACGGATACGTATGAGCTGTCGGGGTGTGAGGGAAGAGAGACAAATCAGCGCCAGGTCTGCCTGCTGTCCTTGCCGTCCTGTTTCACGTGGCTCCTGTCCTCTGGGATGCCAACAGGATCGGCGCTCAGGGCTTCCATCGGTCCTTTTCCCTTCTCCCCCAGCCTGCAGAAAGTGTCAGCGTCTGGGCTAGGAAGAGGCTCAGACCAGCTCCCCACATCTCAGTCTTCCCTCCCAGCCCCGGGTGACTGCCTCCACATTTCCCTTATGAAGTTCATTTTTAATTTAAAGAGCGGAATTAAATTTTAAAATTGCAAATACTTCACTGTTTTCTCTCAACCAATATTTGAAGAGAACAGTGGATGCCATCTCCCTTGGAAAGTTCATGTATTTATAACATATTGAACCAAAGAGAGAAGCTACCCAAAATGGATAACAGGGTGAAAAGCTGAGCTTGAATCTTGAAGAAAAGGTGGGGGAGGGAAGAGGTGAGACAAGGATATAGAAACACTTCCCAAGGAGGGATTCTTATGCTTTTTTATGGATGCCATCTACTGACAGAAGTCCTGGGTCAGACGTTCCTTGGCTTTGAATCTTTAGCACCCATTTGTGCCCCTGCAAGCCAAGGATAAGCTGTAGCTGGTCCCAAAAGGTAGCATGATAAACCATTAAGCATTAGTGACCAATGGAGTTTGTTTCCAGACACCTGGTACCACTTCAACTACAGATCCTGACTGACCTTGCCACAGGCAGTCTTATGCCCCCTCTAGGCAGGATTTCAGGCCATGTCTTCTGCAGGATGTTGTGCTCCAAGCTGAGATGGGACACAGCGGGCTGTGCAGTGTGCCGAGGTCTGGCCTTGCTGCAAGGGAGAGCGTCCTCCATGCTGTCAGGTTTCCTATGAGGACCACCAGCACAGTGGCTCCTGGGTCATCCCAGAGATGCTCCAGGAGGCAAGGTAGAGGCATGATGCTGGTTTGACTGTGAGGCTGCTCTGGAGTTATACAGAAAGGATTTTTCCTTTGTCTGCTACTTGGTCCTTCATACAGAAAACCAGGGAATGGACTTGCCTCTGCCCCCTCAAACTAAGTTCAGTGCAAGACTGTGGAGGCAGTAGCAGAGGAGAAGGACCCATCAGGAACAGGGGATATATCTAATATTTATAGACTTGTTATCGTGAGGATCATATTCTCAATTATTTGTAGAGTGTGCTAGCCAGCATTTCTCAGCTACCCCCTTTCCAGCTGGCTGAAGAGAGCCAGGGCCATTCTGCCCAATCCTCTCACAGTGCTAACACTGAGCCTAAACACATTGTCTCAGATTCAAATTTCCAATCTTGTGAGGCCTTCTATTCATTGTACATATTTGTGTCTTGCAGGTTATCTTCAAAGAAGAGAAGACACAGGTAAGAGTTGAGCAAGTGTGGGTGTCCCTTAGAAATATGAGTTCAATGGTGTCTTTAAGATCTCACAAGGTTGATGTTCACTGGGTGGGGGGCAGAAGACACTTTTCTTCTGTGTCTCCTTGGGCAATCCTCTTGTCTCCCCCTATTCCCTGTGTGTCTGGGGCTACCCTCTCACTGTTCAGCCTTATGCATCCTCAGACCCCACAGGAAACAGGTCTCCAGCCCAACCTGTGCAATCAAGCACATAACTGGGAAAGATCTCTTGGTATAAACTAGCCCCTGGCAATCTCATCCATGTTGCATCCACCATGCATCTCGAGTCTTTATTTCTCTTATGGTTTCATTTGCAAACAGTACGGTGTCCTCCAGCAGTGCCTATCTTTGAAACTTTCAGAGTCAGTGGCTTTCCAGGTGTCTACTGGGAGAACTCTCCTCATTCCAGTATGTGTGTGTGTAACAATATCAGGAAGTATTCATCTTCTCTATAGGAAAATGCAAAGTCATCAGGATGTCTGGTCCCTTTGTGGACCCTTTTTGGCCAAGCCCACGAGCCAGATTTGTCAGCAGGCACTCAGACCTCCTGTGCTGTGGCAGAATCATTAATCCCTTTCATTTTTATTGCACGCTCTTGGGCAATTTGCTGTAACATTGACGTGTGATTGTGCAGCTTTTTATCAGAACAGAAATCTCCGCATTAATTAGCCGTTTCTTATTTAGTTCTTCAAGCCCCAAAAGTAAGAGAAAGGAAGAAAGAAAACACAAAAAACAGTAAGTAGTGATTCCTGGAGTTCCCTGCCCTGCCTGTGCAGAGCTGTGGGGCTAGAAATTACTTGATGTGGTGGGTCCCCTGGAGCTAACACCGGCTGCACAGCCCTAAGCAATTCTCAGGATTATTTCCACAGCTAAAACCAGCAATTCTGGTTTTGCTGGAATGGAAAAGGGTTTGTAGAGGCTGGAGATCCTTTCTCTCTCTCTTTTGTGCCACCTCATTCAGTACTTTCTTTGTGTCTCACAAGGATGTACAGTGTCTTGTTCATCCAGTCCTGAGCAGAGACTCCAGCTTTTCTGATGAGGGCTGTGTGAGAGAATGAACTCAAATCTGCAGAGCCCCACAGCCTCCACTGCCCAAAGGGCCAGCTGGCATGCTTACTGAGAAGAGCCTTAGCTCCTCCTTGCTTGCTGCTCTTGGAGGTTATAGTAGGGGCTACTCATTATATACAGTACAACCAAATATCCGAATGGGCACAGAGGGCAATGGAGACTAGGAAAAAGAAGGGATTATTTGGAGGTGATGGAGGTTGTAAAAATCTGGGGTTGAGGTTCCTATCTGCCCTGGAGTGATAGCAGAGCACAATCCTTGTCCTATGGGGCAGAACAATCAAGGGGTAGGGTATAAAATGCGGTTGCTCAGGAGCAGAAGGAAGGCCTATAAGCCTTTTCTGTCTTATCCTGGGAACTGCAACTTGTGACTTCTCACCTGCTTTCAGAGCAAGGAAACAGTTCTGTAGATGAATCCCGGGCACCAAAACCCCTGGCTGGCTTTGCTGGGACTTGGGATACCCTACTAGAGACAGAAACTGAGCTAGCAGATGGAAATCTGCTGGTTTGTTTGGTATCAGCAGGACCTGCCCTTTAATTCTTCCCAGCACAACTTTTAGCTCTTAGGCACAAAGGAGACAGAGGGACAACAGCCCCTGACACCTCCAGGTCACCCCAGTACACACTGGGACTGAAGAGACTGGGAATCCACAAGGTGCAGAGCATGCTGCATTGCCTGCACAGGACATGTCTATTGCCTATAGAAAGTCCATCTCCTTTTCTCTATTATTTCTGCATGTTCAGTAGCACAGCCCCCTCAAAATGGGCTTCTGTGCACTTAGAAATCTCAGTGTTAAAACTGAGGCTTCCCAAGTAGTCAGTAAAAAGCAGGCATCTCCCCAGCCCCATGCAACACTGGCCAGTATGCAGTAGCCTAACAGTGTGGTTAAAACAAAGATCAGGTGCCCTGCTGGTATGGACTAACCTAGGGGAAGGAGAGCTGCTAGAATTGCTCTTTGGGGGTGAATCAGCCAAGGCGTTTTAGCCCCTCATCTTTCAGATCACAAACCAGAGCTGAGCCACTCCTGGTTTTTGCAAACCTTCTTATTGCTCCCGGGTGTGGATCAGATAGATCCCATGAGCCATCTGGGATCAGGATTTTTGTATAATCAGACTGCTTTGGCTTATCTTTGTTTCAAGCAACTGGTTATCTAAATCACACAGGACCAGTTTTTCCTCCTGCAGAAAGGGAAAATTCTTTTAAACTGGAGGAACTGATGCAGAGGGTAAAGAGCAAACATGGTGATTTTCACACAAATCCACCATGTGAAGAAGAGATGTTCAGTGTTGCTGATTTCAGCTGTATGGAAATAAGGAAGGAGGATCCCAAAATGTGGAGTTTTTAAAAATCTAATCATAGGGTGTGAAAAGCATCAGAGAAAACAGCCAGGCAGAGTTCAGGCAATTACCCTGGAGGTTGCCCTTTTGTCTTAAAGGAGATGCTGTTCTCAAGCAATTGATTTGCTGAGTTTTTATAGCAGCAAATTGCTAAATGCTGTCCAAGCAGGTCATATTAGTGCTGTCAGTGACTGGTATAGTGTGGCCATGAAACCAGACTGTTCCCACCAGCCAACCCATCATTAGCTTTTCCTGCTGGCACAGCGATGCCAGCCTGAGCAGACGGTTACGCTACCAGATTTAAAATAACTGCTGTGGTGGGCAACGATGAAAGGGAACGGGCACAGAAGGTGATAGGTAGCCTGCCACCCACATCACCCTGCTCTCTGCATGCAGAGCTTCAGCTGTTGGCATGGGCAACAACAGCCTTTCACTAATAGGGCCAGGTAATCCACCAGTAACAGCCTGGATGGAGCAAAGGGAAGCGCAGCAGGGCACTGAACCTGGGTCCCTGTAGCCCCGTCAGAAAAGGAAGCAGCAGTGGCTGGACACTTATAGAAAGCCAGGTAAAATGTTCCTGCCCCTCAAGCAGGAGCTGTGAATTGGGCAGGCTGCAGTTAGGGAAGCTGTACTTTGTTTATATAACAATGGTAAAAGCTACCCATAAGACTGGCTAGACCCTCCCACATAGAGAGCGCGGGGAAGGCTGGCTGCTACTGAGTGTACTGTATTATTTGGAGCCTGTCCTTCTGCATCTGCTCTTTAACAAGGAGTCGGCACTACAGAGAGGACTGGAGCAAGAAATGCGAGGGTTGGAGGTTTGCAATGGGTTGTCCAGAGGGATGGTGCACTCCTGCAACGAGGCTCAGCAATGGGAAGGCCCCAGGCTGTTTCCTGGCTGTCGTAGGGTAGGCTGCAGGATAAAGGGCAAGCAGATGAGCGGGCAGGCACAAAGCTCTTCAAAGTTTTGAAAGCAGCAAGGATTGGTGCTGTCTGCTGCACTCTAGCCCACAGATCTTCCCCCAGCAGGCTACAACCTAATAGCTGGTAGTTAAAATGCTAGCATAAATCTCAGTGAGATGGTTTGCCTTAATGTTGGTGTAGCTATGAAGGGATGGAGAATTTCCCATGCCTTGGTGTCCTGCACAATGTTTCATACTCCAATCTCTGGTTTAAAACACAAATCTCCTTTTTGATTTGAATGTTATTGACTTCAGCCTCCAGCTGCTGGCTCTTGTATTCACCCAGTTTGCTCATCTAACAGTGGCTTTCCTCTCTGCTTCTTAAAGCTCTCGTGGGCGCACCCGGAAATCTCATCGCCATCGCCACCGCCACTGCCACTCTCGCTCAGAGAGCTCCGGCTCCCACTCCCCCAGCTGCCAAAGCAGGTAATGTCACCGCTCCCTGAGCTGTGTGTCCTGCTACACTTCCCGGTGGGCCCAAGGACACGGTTGCAATAGCCTGTGTGACCCACAAACTCTCCGTGCAGAGCTGCATCCCGTTCTGGTAGCAACTATGTCACATACTGGGGGTTGAGCTTCTTGTGGTCTTGGCCACAGAAGGCTTCTGCCTCAAGGAGCAGTGGCTGCAGCTTTTTGGTCCAGCAGTCACTTCTAATCCCCGTGGCTGATGATTAGCCCATGACAGCTGATTCCAGCCTAGCCTCCCTCCCCCAGCCCAAGAGCTCTTTACTGCTGATGTCCCAGGAAACCCTTAAACATGGTCTTAGCAATGGAAATAGATTTGCCTACGGCAATCTGTAGCCACTGTCTTTGACCTGATTAAAATCTCTGTCCTGTGGATGACAGATGCATCCTGGGGCCAGCTAAGTGGATGCTGGTTCTAGGCCTGGCATCACTGCAACAGCGAGTTGTGTAGTTTATATACATCACGAGTTTGTGTTTCACGTTTTCTGAAAGCACTTGAACAAACCACCCCCACTGTCCCACTTCACTCCTCCTAACTACTGGGAATTTTGTTATGAAAAGCTGATGATCAGTGCGGGGAGGAATGCAGTCAGTAATTGGAGGGGTGTTAATGCAACAGCAGAGTGTGTCTTCTCTTGGAGGTGTAATAATATAGGGACATTCAAGGCTGGGTGAAAGTATGGTTTGCCTTGAACCACCATAAAATCATGAACTGGAGCAGAAATTTGAGGTTAAGGTCCAAAGCCTGGATCCAAAACTTTTTTTTTTTTTGTAAAGTAGAAAAGCAAAACACTTTTTTCTCCATCATGACTCCACAGAGCAGTCATGTGGAAGACCTTCTCCCACATGCAATGGCCTAGCACAGAGCTGCCAAGGGTTTGTATGGAGCTGGTAATGGGCACTACTGTAATACCAAGGAATAACGGTTTGGCTGTTCATATCTCCTGGAGGCACAGAGCCAGGTCTCGGGAGGAAGGGCGTAAAACACGGCGAAGACACTCCCGGTACCATTCAAAGATCACAGCAAAGCGAAGCTCCTCTGAAGAGGTTCAGGCCAGCCAAAAAGCCAGCCAAACCCTCCCACTCTACAGCTTCCTGTCTCCTAAGGAAGTAGTAAGTATTATACACCGTGCTTTTTTGCTTGAACTAGCTACAGGAATCTGGGCAAGAAATCTGATATGAAATTTTTATAACTCAATTATAGTGATGTTAGACAAAGTTGGTTAAAACTGTATTATTTATTAATGGTGCTGTTCTCCAATGTATTTAAAGTCATACCTTCCTTCAGCACTTTCACACTAAGAGTGGGGCTGGAGAGGGGAAAAATTTGCAAAGGCTCTAGCCTATAAATAATGAATTGAGGACATTTAACAAAAAACGGTGGCCTCCAGCAATGATATTTTACAGGGAAGTGTTTGTTATGCAGCCTTTGCTCAGCTGGATGTGAACTTAATTCACTGGTGTTCATGTCCAAAACTTTAGTCCTTCAGGGGAAGAAAGGGAATCAAACATATATAAAAGAAACATTTACATTTAATGAGTTGGTGATTATTGGCAGGGGATGTTTTCTGACTATCAGGATCCTTCTCGGATCACTGTTGCTCTGGACTGACAAGCCCAGGGGCCGAATTCGGAACTTATGAGCAGCTCTCATTGATGCTAATGGGAACTGCATGTGCAGCCGAGGGTAAAATCAGACTCAGTGCCTTGGGGTGTTTTTCCATATACATGGAAAGAGATGATATAATACATGCCTTGGAATTGAGGGAGCAAGAGATGGAGAGGAATATTAGATACAGACTGATATGAAGTCTTCCGTTTCCACAGCCCGATTCCCCTTTGTTCCCAGTAGCTGCAAAGCAGTGGTATGATACTCTTTGATTGTGGTGTTAGTATCTGATAGGCATTCTGGAGAGATAAATTGCTACATAGGACTTAAGGTAGTGCAGAATCTGGTACTCATGCATGTGGATGTGTAACGTTGGAGGTGTCTTGAGTACAGAGTCCTCCAAGCCCCAAAGTGGTATATAATGGAGACCTGATTTTCTTCTTTAGGCCCAGTCATCATCTGGAAATAGCTCAGCCATACGCAGTAGCTACATCAGATATGAGACAGATAGTGCCAGTAAAAGGAGAGACTTTATCTGCTCACCCACACAGACAGCATTCCGATCAAAATACACAGGGATTATACGTGGGTACAGACAGGCACAAGCTGTCTCTCAACATTATAGATATGCATATTTGCTCTCGTTATATACATCTACTGAGTGTGTAGTGAACATGTGAGTCATTGCTTATAAAACCATATAAGGTAGAGTGAATAGCAGAACCTGCACACCACACTGTGTGCGCACGCATGCAGAGAAAGAATAACAAGGTATGAAGAGTTTATTGCCATGAGCCTGGGGTGTTGCCCTCTGTCAACTTGGGAAGGTAGGAATGAGTTACAAGCTCCTCCTAAAAAACAACCAGTCAAAGACTGCATCGTGACACCAGGGTTTTTTTTTTGGTTCAAGCTGCGTATTTTACATAAATGTTTTCAAGCCTAAGCCTGGTTTTTAATTGGTACTAGGTTTCCTCTCTCTGAAGTCAGGCTCCCTGAGTCCTGTGAGGCCGACTGCCAGATGTTCTCTTCCCTGAGCAAGAGTAAACTCTAATTTAAAATTGTAAAAGCTTTAAAATGAGCTAAACTCAAGCATGCTGCACTCCCCTTTCCACCTGCTTCACTCTGGGTAAATGAGCACACAAGCTGCAGGGCAGGGAATATCATAGCTTTATAGTTACGGATGTAGGGGATGGATGCAAAGTAAAAGTCATCAGGCCTCTGCTTCAATCTTTCTAATAAGGGTTAATAACACAGGCAAATATTTCAGTGACTAAAAGGCATCAGTACCTTTACTATGCAACCCACTAGTGTCCTTTTGTTCCCCAAAAGAAGTGAGTTCTCTTGGATCATCGTTCAAAAGCACATTTAAGTCCTTGTTTAAATTGGAGCCCCTGGTTAAGTGCTGCCCCTAAAATTTTTCTGAATAAGGTCACTAAATATCATGTACTCTGAAACTGGCAAGGGAGAAATGAAATGGGAACTTTTAGTCTCATTTATTAATGACTGTACACAACTCTTTGATGCCTCTCCTTTTTGTGAGTTAAATGGTTGCTCTATAAATAAGCTTAGTTCTGTCAGAATCTAGTTTGAGAGCAGCCTGGATGTGTTATGAAATGAAAATGTGCTCTTGCAGAAAATGTTTATCACATATCAAAAATAAATTACTGGAAAAGAAAAGATTTTGTGGAAAATTCCAGAATTTGGATGCAAAAATGCCGTGTTTCAGTCCTCTGTGGGGGTTGGTGTGTCACACTCCCTACCCTTTCCTCTTGCCTGGGCTTCCAAGCCAAACCATCCTTCCTTGGGGAGATGCACTGTCATATTTCCAAAGAAAAGGGATTTCCAGGGAGGATCCCAACATGCAGAAAAGACCCAAAGAGACAATATACAAACTCCCATGAGGTAATGCTCTAGTACTTCCAGATAAAAGATTTTGCTTTGTAAGCCAATTTTTAGTCTATATTATTTTTGTTCTGAAAATCTAAAGCATTTTGTGGTAAATTCTGCCACCTCCACCCCCCCAGGTTTATTTTCCTTCATTTCTACTGGAACAGCCACAATTTCTAACTGGGTCTACCTGTAATTTATGAGGGATAAAGCATACAAAATAATGCCCTGCCCATGCATCTACCTTGCTGCTTCTTTCCCTCTTGCCTTTATGCGCAAATTGATGCACGCACACATGCATTCATGCACACACCCCGCAAAGTTCCCTGCTACTTTTTGGCAGTGAATTTCCAAGCTTCTCCCTCTCATTCTCCCTTTAATCCCACACAGCTGCAATAGCAACCTATTGAGAACAGGATTGTGGGTCTGTGCCTCAGCATGCAGAGAAACTGTGGGTAATCTGCAGCATCTATTTTTGAACAGAATACCCTCAACCCACTGCAGTCACTTTATTCCACATTGACACAGATGTATTACATGCCACTGTGCTTTCAGTTGAGCAGTGCAATATAAATACCTGCAGGGTATAAATCTAATTGCCTTTGGTTTTACCTGATGAAGATAACTGCATGCTGCATACACTTTCCTTGCCAGCTCCTTTACTTTCACTGAAACTCATTTACGATGTCACAAATTAACACAGGCTTGAACCAGATTTTGAGTGAGGCTCAGGGGGGTACGGTTGTTCCAAATGATCCTGTTTATCTTTGTTCTCATGTGTCTGCAGAAGAGTAGAATTGGGGAAATACTGTGCAGGGGCTGGGACAGCGTATGCAGGGGGGCTCAGGAAACCTTATAGCAGATCTGCGTATTGGCTTGCTGTTCTCTATTTTCTAGCCTGGGTTTTGGTTTACATAGGAAAAGCTATTCTTTCAACTGCGAGGCAGCATGCTTCTGACAACAAACAGGGTCACTGAAGAGCAGAAAAGCGAAGCCTTCCATAACTATGGAATTTGTTCTCTTTTTGCTTTTCCTTTTCTCTTCTCCCAGCCAGGGGACTGAGGTTACCCCTGGTTATTTCCCAGTAAATTGCAGACCGTTGCTCCTAAGTAGGGCCAGCCTGGCCCAAGCAGAGGGGTGTGACACCCTGGCCTGCACCACAGGACGCTGGCTGAACCCCAGCAGGCTGAAAGGATTTTTGCAAAGGAGCAAACTTTTGCCTGGCATTCTCAGGAATCCACCCCCAGCAATGGATCCGTGAGCCAGGCTGCTCAGTGGTGTTGCCGTCCAGCCCCAAATAACTCAAGCTTTGACCTTGCAGGGACAGTTGTGCCATTGCCTCCAGGCTTCTGGATTTAGCTTAGCCCTTGCAGTAGAGGAAGCTCCCCCATGAACTCTTCATCTAGAAAAAAAAAAAAAAGGATATTTTTCACACAGTATCCCTTGAGTCAGGGATTCATACTTGTGCAAAAAGGGGTTATATTTTATTCCTAAGGCACCGCTATTTTTTTGTACTTCCTTAACAAGAGGTTGGAAGAGGAGATGCCCCAGAGCAGGCACCCAGCCTCGCTCCCCCCAGCAGCCCCGCTCAGCAGTTGCTGCTCCCAGCACCAGCAGCTCCTCGGCAGATGTCTGCTGGGCCCTTGCCGACAGCAAGGCTTGCCAGGGTCATTAGCACAAGTTTTTTTTATTCTTTTCATTATCACAATGCACAGAAAAAGAGAGAAAGGGAGAATTATGCACCTCTGAAAAGGAAATTAACTCCACTTTGAAGTGAGTTGCAAAACAGGAGAGAAAAGACCCAAAAAAGAAATCCTCCAACTATAAGCGAGGCTGCACCACGCTGCTCGTTGATGGGTCTCAGTCTCCTTATGGCTGAGAAAATGTATAGTCATCTCTCACCTCAGGGCTGTTTGCAGCACAGTAAATGGACTTACCCAGTTTAATTGGAAGAGGAGTAGCAATTGTGTTTTTGTAACCTATCAGACTCCACCGCCTCTTAGTCTAGGATCGTACTCAAAATTACTGTCTGGAGTATGAGTGAGGGCCTCATTTCTATTCCCCCTTCATCTTGATTAAATAATGATTTGAAACTAAAAAAATCCAATAAATATGTATCTTGAGTTCCCTTGAGGGCAGCAGTAGGTCCCCTGCTGAAAGCTGGAGGAAACAAAGTTCACTGAGATTATTTAATTACTTATTAGAAGAGGGGGGAAAAAATCCAAATGTTCACATAGAGAAAATTAGATTCATGAAAGAGCAGCCTCTTAAGACACCCTGGAAAAATAAAAAGCCATTAGAATTCAATTGAGCTCCACACAGTGTTTTCAGATGTGGCACTCTGTTTCCCTCTCATGTGGCTGGCATGACTTTCAGGAGCAGTAAAATGGGACCAGAAGCAAAACCAAGGTCATCAGATGGAGAATTTGTCCAAGCAGACAGGCAAGATGAGCACCTTGAGACTTGTCCTGGCTACTGCTGCAGGACAGAAATCTCCCCCAGAGCCCACAGGAAGCTACTGGCTACAGCCTGGTGCCCTGAGATGGTGGGGCTGGGAAGCTGCTGTGTCCCTGCCCCAGCCAGACCCTTCAGCCCTTGCAAGGACCGTGGGCTCCGTATTTCACCAATATCCACATGTTGCCTCTTCCCAGAGTGCTGCTACCACAGACATTGAGCTACAGAGGAGCTTGTTGATCTCTCGGTCATTGCACAGATTTTGTGATGTGCTGACAACAGCTGCACTTTGAAGGCAGACTTCAGTGAAGGCAAAGCAAAAGCACACATCCCAGTTCCCAGTGGCAGTCTTAAAAGCTGTTTCAGAAATGCCAAGATGCTGCTGTATTTTTTGGCAGAAATAAAGGCCTTTTAATTTAGACTGGAAGGGAGCAGAAGCAAGGTGTTTGTGCGTGTGATGCCAGGGTCAGTGTCCCTCGGAGCAGCCCCATGCCCATTCCAGGCCTTTCCTACCTCTGTAGCCTGGGAGTACCTCACGTGGTGGTTTTATGCCTGTAAATGAAAGCTCGTCAAAAGCTGGTTGTCTCTTGGTTAGGGTTTGGATCTAACGCAAACAGTAACCCATCTTTCAAAAAAAATAAATGGTGCCATATTTAAAAGCACAATCCTGTATCTTCTGGGATGTGGTTGGGGAGAGTGCGGTGGTTCAGAGCAAGGAGGCCAGTTCTCTCGAGGCTCTGGCATCAGGGGTTCAGAAACAGTTGGTGAGAAACCAAGCCAAATACCTGGCTTTGTTATGTTCCTTTAACATTTCAGTTTCTACTGGAGAAAACAAGGACTGGTAGAGAAGTGCTAGAGCTGAGAAGTAGCAAGGAGCAGTACCGGATGCTGAAATGAGGACTTGCAATGTGTGTCTCCACTCATTCGTAGTTGGGAACATATGGGAGATGTTTCCGCTCTGCCCAGGGCTTCTGCACTGAAGGTGCAAGTTGGCTAGTGAAGAAGGACCGTTTCATTTCCCATGTCTGCTGCTGGGGCTCCCAATGCCTCTGAGTTAGGACTGAGCATGGCTTAGAAGTTAGTGTGGGGTGGGGGAGTCCCCAGCTCCAGTATGGATTTCCTGGGATGAACGAATCCCTGTCCCTTATCCCAGCAGTAGCGATGCCTCTCTCTGGCCACATAGGAAGTACTCGGAGAGCCTCCGACTCCAGGTGTTTTCAGAGTGGGGGGATGTTGTGGGCAGTCATCATTCTGCAGACTGTGTGCTGAGAGCTGCTCTCTGTGTTCGTAGCTCTGCTCTGGTTTCAGTCGCTGCTGGATCAGCACATGCGTCAGAGTCAGTCGTCCCTGTCCCATTTAGCACCTCTTGAACGAGGTCAAGAGCGATTCACACCCCCCGAAGGGACACAGATCAGGTTCCAGGGGCAGGAGGGTGGCTCTGAAGGCACCATCTGATGGGATGAAGGAGCTCCATGTAAACAGTGGCACCAGCTGGGTCCATAGTCCCTCTGTGGATGAGAAAGAGCCCTGTCCCTGTGCCAGCCGGCCCAGGGCTCGGCTCTCCAAATGCACTGGCCCTGGCCCTGCTGTGTGACAACTGGTCCAGGTGTCCTCTGCTCCCTGAGATAGTACCAACATTGCAATGTAGTTTTCTCAGCTCAGAATACGCCAGACTTGTGAGGGCATGGCCCAGGTCCCCGGTGTGGAGAGCACGGCATAGAGGAAGGGCACTGTGTGCCCCAGAGCGTGGTGTGAGGACCTGTGCAGGTGTTTGAGGGAGGACGGTTTGTTGGGAACATGTTAGAGGACTATCCCGAGCAGGGGGAACCAAACCCATGTGTCCACACTCTAAGGACCCTGAACCAAACCTTATGGGTGGGAATGAGGGGAGCAGACCATCTGAGTGAAAGAGGAGGAAGCCACACGAGATTGCTGATGTGCTGGGTCCGCATTTGGCCCTAATTCTCACCCCTTTGCAAGGGGTGGATATTAGCATTAACATAAAATACTCACATGCTGTAAATCCCCTTGGTGGTGCTCAGGGTCCCAGACAACAGCCCTGCCCAGGGCAGCCTGTGTGGGTTTAGGGTCCTCGCTGACCCCATTGGGTTCAGCAACCCACCGAAACCCAGCCAGGGTATGGCTGAACCCCCACGCAGAGGCTGGCAGGAGCAGGGCTGTCATCCCCTTCCCCATAGGTCTCCAACGCAGCAGAGGGGGGGGATATTTTTTCTCCTCTGTTTTTTCTCTTCTTCCCTCTCTTGAGTTCCCTTTGTCACTTCCATGAAACCCAGGGGGATTTAGTGCAAGCTGCGACGTTTCAGCACAGGCTATCAGCCTCCAGGAACAGGCTGGCCGGCCTAATTTAAAGCAGAAGGAAACAAAAATGAATAATAAGTGAGACAAGCAAGCAGACAAAAAGCAGTCATGACATTTGCATAGAGGAGGCAAGCGAACAGTTGGCAGTGTGGATTGAAGAGAGGGTTTATGTTTTTTTCATGTAATTTGAGACTCTAATGATGGACTTATGTTGCCCGCTCTTCCTTTTTTCTTACACCTTACCTACTAAAGGAGGAGTTCTTGATGGGTAAGTGGATGCTATCCGCAAGACACCAGGGAATTTATTAGAGGTCACTCGAGCGCATTAGCTATATCTTCTTCAGGGGGAAAAAAGCACACAAAGAAGTATCTGTATACCTTTTATTTCCAGAGGGATTTTTCTTTTTTCCCCTCCCCTTTCCTTTTTTCTTTTTTTTTTTTTTTTTTTTTAGTTTCAAAGTGTTAAGCTTGTTTATTTGCCAGTTTTTACTTTGTACAGAAGCCCTTGATTTGTTTTGATTTGATTTTTCTTTGCTTATTTTAGTGACATTCCTTCAGCCTCTTTATTAAGGAAGTTTAAAAAATTCACTCATTTAAGATTTTGTTTCATTTCTGTTTTCTTTCCAAGGATTAAATATGTTTTTTAATATGTATATACCCATTTCTTCTTTTTTTTTTCTCCCCCTTTTTAAGGTTAAATAAGGGCTTTGTCCTCTGTTACACCTTTTTTATTTAGTTAGTTAGTTATTTTGATTCTTTGGTTGCCCGTTTACTTTGTTGAACTCTTTTGTTTAACATGAATCGCATGCTGATACTCTTTGCATGATCTCTAAATCTTACCATTATCATAGCAGGGGGAAAAGAAGTTTCTTCTTACTGTGGATTTCTTTCAGGGATATGTGCTTTTGTTTTCTTCTCCTCTTTCTTCACCTCTTTCTTCTCCTCTTTCTTCTTCCTTTCTTTCTTTCTTTCTTTGTTTCTTTCCTTTCCTTTTGTTTACCATCCTGATGGTAAAATTTCTGGGTTTAATTAAAAAAAAAAGAAAAAGCAAAGTAAAACCAAAAACAATCCCCCCAAAAAACCATTCAAACAATGCCAAATGGCTTTTCTGCTTTCAGATCTCTCAGTCAGGGTCTTCTGCTGACCTCTTTACCAAAACAGACAGCCCGCCTGGCATCCTAGCCAGCCAGAACGGAGAGTATCATGAATATGACTCAGGAAACGATACTTCCTCCCCTCCCTCCACTCAAACGAGCTCATCCAGGTCAAAGGACAGCCAGGAGAAAAGAAGTCTAGTCCATGATGGCTTTGGCCATGCCTTCTCGTCCGGGAAGCCCAAACTGGCCAACAGCGATAACAGCTCTGATTCAGGAAATTCCTTCACCAGTTGCTTTTCCCAGACCAAGGGAACAGCTTTGGAAAATCTGTCTCCAGATGCCCAGGGACAAGACCGAAGGTCAGTGATTACCAGTAGCTGCTGCTGGCAGCCAAATACCTGGTACGTTGTTGCTCTGTATCTCCTGCCCGCTCGCCAGTTGCAGTGGTGAGCTGGCAGGGAGGTTTTTGTGGTCTGGAGGCAGTTAGATATAAATCAGACCCACGGTCTTGCCAGTCTGGAGTCCAGAACCCAGCAATGACCAATACTGTAGCCTGAGGAGGAAGATGAGAACCCAGCCATCACGCCCCTGGGCAGTGCCCACGCCAGCTCTTCTGGCGTTAATGTGGCTAATGCAGGGTTTGGCCCTGGGTCGAGCTGTGTCCTGAACACATCCCTGCTCAGCTGGACGTGACCATGTCAAAGAAAAGAGTCGCTGGCCCTTCTGGGCCAAATCTGGAAGGAGCATCAGGGGGTTGCCATGCTAATTCTCTCCCTCTGCTTACTGTGGGGAAGGGAAGCGGGGTTCATTTTCACTAAAACCATTACGGGCTGTTCTTTCACCTGTTCAATAAGCCAAATCCAGCCTGCCCCTTCCCAGCTCATTCAGGACTGGTCCTGGGTGACAAGATAGCATCTCCTGCAGATGGGGAGCACAGGGAGGGCCAAGTACCTCACTGGCTGCAGGATAACAGCAGCGGCTCTGCGCGCTGGGGCCATGGGGCATCGGGGCCTGGGGCAGGAGTCAAACAACCATCTGGTGCCACAGGACATCATCAGGAGAGGGGACTAGATGCCAGGTTCCATCACCACCTCCCATTCCTGGGGGTTTGGCAGGTGATGTTGGGGATGAGGACACTGAAGCGCGGTGGCTGGTACCCAAGGCTATGCTCAGGCAGTGGTGTTAGGGAGCTCTTCCAGCTCAGGCCCTCAGGTCTTAAAGGCTGAAAGTTAGAGCCAGGATGTGGTCTGGGGGTGAGAGCACTGAATGAGAGAGGAGAAGGAGCCAGGAGAATTGGTGTTAAGAGGAAGCAGCCCTCAATTTTCAGTCAGAGGGTAAAATTTTAGGGCTGTATATACTTTCCACACTGTGACTCCAGCGGGATAACTCTGCCTTCACATGGGTGGAGCTGGGATTGCAGCTGGCCCTGGCTGTTGGGAGGCTGCCTCGCTGCTGGGCTCTAACCCCAGTTCATACCCAGGGCACTTCTGGAAGAGGAGGAATTCACACAGCCCTGTCCAAAGGCAAGAGGACGTGCCGGCTCAGTGCCTGCTCATGCTGCTCCACAGCCAGGCTCGAGCACAGGCCCTTGCCCTGCCGTGCTCTGGCTTTCCCTTGCTCCAGCACTTCTCGCCTCACTCCCTCCCCAGGACCTGCATTTCTCCAGGCTCTGCCAACCAGTCACCTCTGGTGTGTTGGGCACGGGGCGGAGGAGCTGCCCCTCACACCGCCTGAGACCTCTTCCACAGCCCTTCCCTGGCACAGCCTGGAGGGTGAGCTCTTGGGCTCTGACCCACACACACGGGGCCTCCTGCAACAGCAGCCCGGGGAACCGGGAGGTCTTTTTTATCCCCAGTTGGGGAATGGGAGGATGGGAGTACTTGCTGGCTGGAGAGTGGTGGACCGGTCCCAGTTCAGCCACAGCTTCAATGACCGTCCAAATATATGTTCACAGAGGGTGCCTGTCCTTGTGTCTCAGCTGTTCGGAGGAGAAGAAGCGAAACTTCCCCCCGTCCCCAACGCACAGCTCCCCAGTGAGGCCGTGCTCCCGCAGCGAGTCGTACACCAGCACGGGCAGATCCTCCCCCCACTCCAGTCGCTCCCACTCCTCACACCACAAGGCCTCTCCCAGGTACTCCCGAAGCAGGTCCTGCTCTTCAGGAAAGAGGTAAGGCCAGCTAAAATGGCTGTCTCTGTGAGCCTGGGCAATGCCTAACTCTTGCAGGCTGGCAGGCTCCTTCCAGGGGAAGGTGTAAGATTTTGGGGGGTTTCTAGGAATCCATATGGCTTGGGGTGAACTGGCCACCCAGAGCTGAGCTGAGACCCTGAAATATGGGGCATCTCGTACCCCCCGTGAGCCCAGATTCGGAGGAGCTTGGCACAGCTTCACCCTCCAGCCTCTTTAACTCTTTTATGCATCTTGCCTGTCCCCAGGTCTTCTTCACGTTCCCCCAGCTATTCCTCCAAATCCTGCAAAAAAAGTCCTGAGAGCAGGAGTTCAAGGCCTCGTCGGAGCCCCAGTTACTCCCGCTACAGCCCTAGCAGGTACAGCTGCCTCCTCACGTGATATCTGCTGCCTCATGCTTTCCCACTGCCTCCATCACTTGTTTGGACTCCAGCACACTTGCCAGCCCCAAACTGCTCCCTCAGCTCCCTCACTGGGTGCTTTAGTTCTCAGCATCAGAGTGAGAGGGAGCAGGGGGACACGGCGTAAGGCATATAGCAGTATGTTATGTTGGCCCTCAATCCAGTGGAAATTTCTCACCGTTTGTTGCCCCAGAGCTGGTGCTTGTTGCAGAGGAAAGAACAGAGAGAGATGAGCCTTTCACTTCTTGTGGGAAAAGTGGATTTCCTATAGCCAAGGACTGCCCTGCATTGATTCAGGGGAATTTCACACAAAGCGCTTTTGGGGCTAGGTTGCTGGGAAGGAGACCTGGTTTATCCCCGGCTTTGAAGCACCGTGGTATCTCACACTCAGAGCGCGTGGCAGGTGAAGCGGCTGTTCCTCCGCTCTGAGCTCTTGCGGGGGACACGCTGTGCAGCCAAGAGTGCACAGATGGCGGCTCGGTGGTGTTTGCCAGGGCCTCATGCGAGTGGGAGATGCCTCCCAGGAAAACCTGGGGAGTGCCCCCCCTCTATGTGGTGGTGTAAATGGTGGGCAGAGCGTTAGGCCCCGGTTGGGTCTGCCCACAGTTTTCCTCGCCCAAGGAGCCTGCGCCAGCCAGCAGCCCCTGCAGCAGGGCTGCAGCCCTTGTCAGAGAGGGATCTTATTGCAGAAGGGAAAAACACTCAGCTTTTCAGAGTCACGGCTCTGCCAAAGAGTTGTCAGGCCCTGGGAAGTGCCCCTGCTGCGTGGGCAGATGCCAGGTGCCCTTGTGCTGGCACTCACACCGCCTTGCAGAGGGAAACGCAGTCCAGGCAGCTCTACTCCCTCCACCCCCCACAGAAAACACACATCTCACGGCTCAGCCCTAGAGATGCCTTTGGGCAGGCTTTTTCTGGTAACATCTCTGCTGCCACGAACATTTTGCACCCTTAAAATGTTACATTCCCAGGATCTGATTGTTGCAGGCTGTGACAGTCCCTGCACTGTGTAGGAGAACATTTCCTGCCTGCAAGGATCGGGCCCTTGACCTGTAACGTGTCACTTTGTAGATGGCATTGGGCAGGGTGTATGAGTCAGCTACACTCCACGGAAGGGCCTGTGCTAACATGTACGGGAATTTAACAAAAGAGAAAACCATAGCAACACCGGCACTCCTTCTGGCGAGCGGTGCGGAGCTGCACAGCCCTGCAGGGATACGGGGGGGCCCTCCCCTCCCCTCACGTGGGGTCTGCCGGCAGGGCTGTTCTCTCCTGCTTCTGCAGCACGGCCAGCAAGGGCAATTTTAGTAGAGCTAACTACAGAGCACGTCCACAGACGTAGGAAGCCATCTTAGCTTGGCAGCGCAGGGCCACCAAGAGACACTGCTGAAACCCCACGTGCAGTTAGTGGGTGTCCATCTGTCCAGCCAGAGGAGTGTCCCTCTGTCCAGCTAAGTGAGCGTGCGCAGGGCTGGTGCCACCCCGGCGCTTTGGTTAGAGTGGTCCCTTTTGGAGCTGCGTGTCCTCCGCTTGTCTGTGCCTTCATGGGTCGTCGCCTCTACATCCAAAACCCACCCCACAAAACCCCAGCAGTGACGGTTTGCAATCTGTGCCTTCCCCAGAGACCGTGAGCGAGAGCACAAGTACAGCTCCAGTGAGAAGGAGTCGCACAGGGAGCGTGACCGACAGCGGCGGCGGCGGTCCTATTCACCCCTGAGGAAACGCCGGAGAGACTCTCCCAGCCACCTCGAAGCTCGGCGCATCACGAGGTGAGAGGAGCAGTCCCATCGTTTGGGGCCAGGCTCAGCTGGCACTCCTCAGGGGAACATGGGCTGTACTTGGGTCCCAGCCCTTGCCAGAGGAGGTTTCTCCAGGAGGAGACCGGTTTCCCTGATCCCGATCAACAGGCCCTTCCACCCCTCCTAGAGCTTGGGGATTTCCAGCTAGAGGCAGAGGGAGGACGAGGGGGTCCTCATTTACAACAGCTGAAGAAAAAAGGCAGATGAAGTCAGATGCTGAGAGCAGCCCCCTCAGACTTTTTGTTTCACCCTCTCCTGTGGTAGATGTCCCACACTGCAGGGAGAGTCAAATATTGACTCTAACCTTCACGCTGGGGGCTCTTTGGAACAACATTAAGCAGAGCCCAGCCTGCTTGGGACATTCATTCACCAGGGCTGTGGGGGTGGGTGGTTTGAATCCCAAGACCTGTCAGCTACCTGATCTCTTCCTTTTCTTCTTTTAAACAAACACAATCACATTTTTGGAGAGTGTTGTGCAGAGTAAACCGTGCTTTTTTTGGAGATTCTGGCAGTCAATCCATCCTTGTGTCGCCGGTAACGCACGTCTCTCTGTCCCCACAGTGCCCGCAAACGCCCCATCCCCTACTACCGTCCCAGTCCCTCCTCCTCCAGCAGCGCCAGCAGCTATTCCTCCTGGTACAGCAGCTTTAGCCGCTCCCCGAGCCGGAGCCGGAGCTACTCCAGTTACCGGACGAGCCGGAGCCGAAGCTGGAGCAGCAGCAGCGCCGAGGGCAGGAGCCGCAGCCGGAGTTCGGGCCCCAGGAGCAGCCGCAGCAGGAGCAGGAGCTGTGACTCAGGAGACAGCTCTGACAGCCTGCGTCGCTAGGGAGTGCCGTGGACGGGCTCGTGTGCTGGCGTCGCCTCCGAATTCCTGGCATTCTCCGCTTCCTTCCCACCTACCTGGCCATCGATAGCAATCATCCCCAATACTGACGTGGTGGCAGTGCCGGGTGCCCCTTTCCCCAGGTTGGAGTGAGAGCCCTGGTGCGCCCGCTGCAGCCCCCTCGCTGCCTCTCGGAGTGGGTGGGTCAGTCCCAGCTCTCCAGGCCGGGGCTGGAAGAAGGGTCGGTGCTTTACAGGTCCCCAGAGACCTGCTCCATCCTCCCCGACGTCCCCACCTCCCCATCGCTGCCGCGCTCCAAAGCACTACCAGCCGGTCCAAAGGAAAGAATTCAGCTCCTTGCTCTTCTGCCAGTCCAGGATCCAGCGAATTAATTTCTGTTGGAGGGAGAGACCCGGTTAGGGAGGGATTTGCTGGGAAGCTTTGATGATGAGTGGGAGTGACCTGTTCCCACCAAGGCAAATATCAGGTCCCCGAGGGTCTCTCCTCCAGAGTTTCTGCCCTCTCTGCAGCAAGCCTCTCCCATGAGAGAATATTTATTTATTGCTGGTCAGCCAGTCCCTGCTATAAATGGAAGGCTAGAAATCCCTCCTGACGTAATTCCTGGGGATAAAAAAAAACCATTCCCTCTCTTTCTCCAGTCCTTTCCTACTAGGTATGCATCATCTTTCGCAGGGTTGTTTTATCCCCACCCCCAGCACTGTGACTTGCTTGCAAACAAACTGCTGAGGTGTGAGGCAGATGTGGGGTCAGTGGGATAGAAGGGAGAGGGGAGCCAGTGCCATGCTGTGCTCCGCGGGTCAGGCCACGGCGTGGGAGGTAGGGGCCATGGGGTTCCGTTCTCGGGGGAACCCTCTTGCAGTTTGGGTTTAGGTTTTTCTAAAGGGAGCCTTGCTCTTGGAGCGCAGTGCTGGTGGGGCTGCGAGGAGATAGCCGAGCTGTGGGGTGTAGGGAGACCACGGAGGGTTAAAAGCGCATCGCTTGAGCCAGGGGACCCCAATTCCCCTTCCTCCTAACAGGCAGCAATTTTAAGCGATGTCAGAGGGATTCCAGGAAATCATTTCTCCTGGAGACCCTCAGGCTCCCCCGAGGCAGGGTTAGCAGCCCCGGTAGCCCCACGGCAGGGCCCGTGCCAGGCTGCAGCAGGATGCACTCGCGCCCGCCGGTGCAGGGGTGCAGCCAGGACCCCCCACTAATTGCCCGTTTGTCTGAGGAGCCGCAGGCAGCGGCAGCAGGGCCCTGCCTGCCTGGGCGCCCGCGGCCCTGGGGTTTTGTCTTTCTGCCAGCCCAGCTGCCTGCGCAATTACTGTGTTTTGCAGGGTAACAAAGGCTTCTCCCAGCACAGGCCGAGCTGGTGCTGAGGAGTTTCTTTCTCTTACAACACCTGGGTGCTTAGAGACGCTAATTTGGATTTAAGACTTCCCTCCCTCCCTTTTTCCATCCCCTCCCCTTCCACCCTGCGTGATTATTAAGGAGTTGGGGCTTAATGAGTCAAGGAGGTGTGTCGATTAAGTGTCACAGAAAAGAGTTAAGCGGAGCCAGCATCTGCTGGAGGAGGAGAGGGGGTCGAAAAAATTGCAACACGCACACACACACCTCCCCAGCTAAAGAGTTACCTACAGCCCCCCTGTCCCGCTGGCAGCAGGTAAAGGTGCAAGGCTGCAAGCGGAGGAAGGCCAAGTGCCAGTGGTGTTCTGGTGGAGCGGGATGATCGCCTTAGCAAGCATATAAACCTGCTGTCGGCTGGAAAGCGCAGCACCATGGGGTGTATTTCCACCTGGGTGGTACGAGGAGAAGTTTTAAGCCAGGGGTCCCTTTTCCCCAGTATCCTTCCTGCTGCTGGTCCCCCTTGTCCTGTGTCTTCAACCCCCAAAGCCCCCCCTTTTCCCAGCCCTCATCCCCCGCCTGGCTCTCTGCAGGTGATTTGAGGATGAGGGTGGCCGAGGCAGGGAGCTGGGCACTGGTATGGCCGGTGGCTTGGTGGGGACATGTGTCCACCTCCTGGGAGGCCACTTTCTAGGACACAGTAAAGGGCGTTCCTGGCAGGGCTGAGCAAATGCTCTAGGGCTGTGGTTGAGGGATGAAAGACGGGGTGTTCTTGCAGTGGGGTGCCACTGGCTCCCCTCCTGCGCTGGCCCTGACAGCGGCCCCTTGGCCACCTTCTGCAGCGAACTCCCTTTTCGTAAAGGGCTCAAAACCTCACGCTTCTTCCCCAAAGAGTCTCTCCCGGTTTGATGCTGAAATGCCCCGTCCTCCTGTTCCCCGGGCAGGCCCCAAGGCAGCGATGGGAGCCCAGACCCCACATCCACCAGTGTCTCAAGCGCAGCCTCGTGCTCCTTAACACCTGCTGACGCACACGTGCACCCGGAGCGGGGAAGCAGCGAGCCGGGAGGTCAAAAACCAGCAAAGACAAGGAGGGGGGCTTCGTGCAACTGGAGTGAATATCGAACGCACCACTGGCTTGAGCTCCTCGTGGCTGGGGACGGGTGGCGGAAGCACCGCACCGGGGTCGGCGGCGCCCGCCGCGCGGGGGCCAGGAGGCGCCTCGGAGGGTTGCGCGGGCTGGCGGCAGCTCTCGCACCCTGATCCGTGCTTCAGGGACTGCCTGCGCTTGGACAGCCCGTGGCAGCCGAACGCTCCCCGAGCAGACTTGCGTTGGAGTAAACCTCTTAACTTATTTATTTATTTATTAATTTATTCTCATTATTATTATTATTATTATTATATTAATTGTATGTCAGGATGGATGCAGGTGGTCGCTGTTACCAGTATTTATTTATTCTCTTTTTTTTTTTTTTTTTTTCTTTTTGAACAATAAGTTATTTTGGGATCTATTTGTTTGTTTGAATGTATCCATGCCACTGTTCTCATGTAAAGGTTTACAGCGCTGGCCCCTCTCGGCCAGGCAGCTGGAGGAGGGGTGACGGTCACTCCTGCTGCCAGCGCGTCCCTTTGTGCTCTCCGGAGCGGGGCAGAGAGCGCCCGATGGACAGAGGGATGCAGGGCAGAGCTGTTGGTCTGTTTTCACACTAAAATCTAGAGTTTCTCATTAGATTTGTGCAGGAACGTGGTGGAAGTGACCACAGAAACAGGTCTAGGACCTCACGGAGGTGACGGCAGGGGTCTGCTCGCCAGCCGGCCGGGCGGTGGGGTGTTTGCAGTGCTGCGAGGGGAAGCCTCACCCCGGCCCGTGCTCGCGCCGGCCGGGTGCCAGCTGGCCACCGCTGCTGCTTCCCTTGGCTCCGCAGCCAGTGCCCAACCCGAAACCGAGCTGCTCTGCACAGGCCCCGCTGGTTTTCCTGGGAGGATGCTGTCGCTAGGACTCCCCCGCCGTGTTTATCGCTGCGCAATGACCCACCCATGGAAAAACGACAGAAATGAGACCGTGAGAGAGCGATCCGTGCTGAAGATGCTTGCAAAACCCAGCCTCTGGTGACAGGACCTAACCAAGTCTGTGTGTGTATGTGTACGTGTATGTGTGCACATGTGCATATACGTATGAGTTTTCCTCAGTGGTGGTGCTTATTTTTTACCTTATTTAAAATTTTTAGTGCAACCTGGAAGATCACCCTCCCTGTTAGTGGACAGCTGGGTTTTCCATCCGTTTACGTGAAGCCCGTGAGCTTTTCTGTCTCTGTGCCTTTTGCCAGCGCTTTTTTTTTTTTTTTTTTTTTTTAAAACGTTGTTTCGCCCATTCGTTGCTTTTATGGATTTTTGCTCCGCGTCCAGCATCTCAGATTGCTGCTGGCACGCTCTGCAAAGAGCAGCGTTCACCTGGTGGAAAGGCAACTCGGTCGTTTGGGTGTTGGTGAATCTCTGTTCCCCTCTGGTCAGCTGCATGGGGAATGCCCAGGGCCAGCCACAGCCTCGAGGCTTCAGGAAAATCTCTTGGCCGTTTTTGGGAGGCCCTATCTCAGATGGGTTTGCTTTCCTCAAACACAAAGGCTCTTTCCCTCCCACGATTTTGTTTCCATCCCGCGAGTGCCCCAGTTGCCTTTCCCTGGCAGAGCACACGTCGCAACACCCGCTCCCAAATGTCCCTGACACTGGAGTCGTGCCGTCGGCTCTCCCCGCTCCCTGGACCTGCCTTGGCTCTGGGTTTGTCTCACCAAGCGAGTCTCATCCCACCCCTCCCAAGTCCAGAGCTGGGGCCGGGCTCCAAAAAACCCAACACAATCTCTGCAGGTTTGCTGGAAAGCAAAGATAAGGGATTTTTTAAAGCACTGCTGTGTTCTTTCTTTTCTTCGTGGGTTACAGCACTCGGTTGAGCTTTGCTTTATGTTGGCTGCAACATTTCTCAATGTTTTTGTTGTTTGGGGGGACTGAATTTGTACCAAACTTGTCTGCAACAGCCAATCACTGTTATTTTGCTATGCATTGTACATATATTGAACGGGCTGAGAGGATTTAGCTTCTATTTAATATTTATTTCTTTTATTTATTGAGCATTACTGTAAAAAAGGCATTTGGGTCTCGCTGTTAGGTCCATGAAGGTCGGAGCCTTTGAGATGTTGCTCTATACGTTGGAGGGGTTATCAGAGAGGTGAATTACTGAGGCTGTCACCTGCTGGCGTGGAGGCATCTGGCAGACAAATTAAGCTCATTTGGAGCTCAACCACCTGTGATTTAGGGAGGAACCTCATTTAGATGGAGATGAGGAAGGCAGGGGAAAATCTTCCATCTTCTTGGACCAGCCTCTACTGGCAAATCACAACTCCCTGGAAAGGTGCTGGGCGGTCGGAGGCAATGGGCCAGCTGTGCCCGAGGAATAACCCTGCTCGTCCTCCTCTGTGCCACGCAGGGCTCCCTGGATCTCCGGAGATCCCTGGGGATCTCTGATCTCCCACCACTGACCCCCTCCTGGCCCTCAGTGGTTATTGGGGGAAGGGGGGACTTGTTGCCCTTTCATCCACATGAGGAAGGGGACAGGCTTGAAGTGACTTGCCGTGGTCTCTACCAGGAAGCAGGGATGTCCACCCTGCCCGGTCCTGAGACCCTCATCCTCATGCCACGTCCTGCTTCGCCCCCTTCCCCGAGCTTTGTGCCGGAACCAGTAGCTTTGCCCCGGTGTGAGCTCAGGAAAAGTGGCCGGGACAGGACTGGGGAAGTCTCCCCTGTCATCCCCGACACTGACTAGAGCTCGCCGCAGGCATCCTCCCCCAGCTTGGAAAAAAGCATGGGGTGTGCTAAAAATCACGGCCTGCCCCAGTGTCACCCCACCGAGGCCGCAGCTGGTGTCCTCTTCACCCGAGCGGGAGGTGTTTGTGCTCGGTGGGCAGAGCTGCCCGGGCTGGCGGAGCGCAGACGTGGCCAGCGCTGGGCCGTTCCTGCAGAGCTGCCAGGAGCTGCAGGGTGCTGCTCAGCCTTGGGGCTCGCGGGATACTTGTTTGAGAAAAGGATGGATTCAGGTGCCTAAGCGAAGACTTTGCCCTTTAGTGTCCAGTGGGGTTTTATTACCTCTTTACCAGGGAATAAATAATTCTCATGAGTTCTGCTGCTACCTGGAAGTTTGCACATGACCGGGAGGGTCCCCGAAGCACTGGTACATCCGCTGTTGTAGCAACAGCTTCACGGTCAAGCACCCCGACTTTTGGGCTATTGCCTAGAGAACAACACCCTGACCTCACCGGCCCGGGGGCAGCTCTCCGCCTTCGAAACCCAGGGAACGAGAAGATTGAGAACGAAAGTCAAGACGTGAGAGAAGCTGCGAGGGAAATGGTGTCTCTGTTTTCTCTCCTGTTGGTCGTTTCCTTACCAAATGACACCGGCGCATCTGTTCATTTTGACTTCATTGTAAAGCTCCCTTTGCTCTCCATCGAAATGCATACTGTATTCTTTAGTCTTCCTGGGGTATTTGAGTTGTTAGCCTGGTTAGAAAAAGGGTTCCAATAAAGGTTCGGACAGTATTTCCTTCTCATCACAGCCCTGTTTGTCATGTTCCTTTTGGATCCGACTGTGCATGGTGGGATATTTTGGGTTGTTTCAGCTGCTCCGCAGGGAAGGGCATGTGCCTCCACTCCCAGCTGCCAAGGACTGGCTCCTCGGGGCACTGGCTGAAGCAAAAAAAAAGTTATGGGTTAGTATTTCTGTCAGCTCTCGCTTCCCTGCTGGGCCAGGTTTTTCGCTGCCCTTTGCCAGGCACTTTGGATCCCCCCGCCCTGCTCAGGGACCGGTAGCCCAAGCCAGAAGCGCAGCCGTCTCCCCGCAGAGGTCACCGTTCGGGCTCGCCCGTGCTCTCCTCCGTGCCCTTCCCTGCCCACACAGCGCCCGCTCCGAGCCCTGCGCCGTGCCCCCGCGCCGCACGGTCCCGCTGCGGTCGCCTCCTCGGCCGTCTCGGCAGGAGCCAGGGCGCTCACCCATGAGCAACGCGGCGCTGGGGACTCGCTGGCACCCCAGACGATGCCCCTCACCCTGGGCTGGAAGCCCCCCAGGGGAGCGGTAGCACTGGACCGGGTCCCCGTGCTGTTTCCAGCAGGGCTCGGATGGGCACCCAGGGAGGGTCTGGCTGCGGCACAGACCGATCCTGGGGACGCGGGGCAGCGTCCCCAGGTCACTCGGAGGAGGAGCGAGGCTGCCAGGCCGCTTCGCGCTCCCCAGAGCTGATGTCCTGGGGCCGGCTCGGCAGCAGGAGGCAGCCGGGAGATTTGGAGTGACAACAGGAGCTAAATTGGGATGGCCCAGAGAGGGCAAGAGCCGGCGGGAGGGGACGCGTGACTAATCGGGATAAACAAGGCGACAGGGAGGATTCCTGGCTGGGGAGGGAGGATGGCCCGGAGCTATGCCGGGAATCGTGAGACTGGAGATGTCGGGAGGCTCCTGGAAACACAGCAGGAGCATGGGGCTGCCCAAAACCTCCTTAGGGCTCTTCCCCCTCTCCCCGTGGGCTGGTGTTTGCCCGAGTGGGTGCAGAGCTGGGTGCTGGGGTGATCCCGCTCCCCAGCCGAGGTGAAAGGTGCCCAGCTGGGCTCAGGCTCGGTTTGTGGTGATGTCCCCCGGGGCACCCTGCTGTCACCCCCAGCCCAGGCAAGACAAGAGGATGGAGGGGGATGCTCTGCCCCTCCACTGTCTGCTGCCTCCCCGCACCCAGGGGTGCTCAGCCAGCGCCTGGGACCTCCCCAGGCACCTCCAGCAATCCCCCTCGGTCCCCAGGGAGACCCCCACCATGGCCAGCTGTCCCCACGCCTGGGGGGGTGAAGGAGCTGAGCCTGGGGGAGCTGCCCTGCCCCACGCCACGAAAGGCAGCTCCCTCCCCCAGCGATGCCACATCGGCGCAGAGTGATTAATGCCGTTGGAGTGACCAGCGGCTGAATTGCTGCGCGGCCTGCGCTGCATTAAAGTCTTCCTGCTGTAATTAGTTCCATCAAGTCTATTAGAAAAATTGCAGATGCTAAAGAGAAGGAGCATGAGGCAGCGCCGGGAAGGAGGATGTGGCATGAGGAAGTGGTCCGGTATCCAGCATGACCCTCACTGATGACATCCCGTCCTCCGGCACATCCCATCGCCCACCCGAGCCGTGCCTGGACCACCTCCTTGGGGAGCCCCCTCGTCGCCACCAGGTACCCCCCCGCTCGCAGGGTCGGGGTCGCGTGGCCCGGCTGGACGCTGGCCGGGAGCTCGCCCGCCACCGCCGCCGCGCCTCTTCCCACGGCGCGCTGCCCGCTCCCCGCCGCTGCCCTGTAATTAGCCCCGCCGCCGCGCGGCTGTGATTACTGCCTCGCCCTGCCCGCGCACGGCGATTGCGGCAGGGCCGGGGCACGCGGTGGGGTGAGGAGGAGGAGGGGGGCGAGGAGGAGGCAGGTGCTGATCTGCGCCGTGAGGCCCCTGGCTGCCCGCTGCCCGGGGTCCCTCTCCTTCCCAAAGTTAGGGGACATTCCTCCAGCCTCCACCGATGAAGGCGGGCGAGGAAGCGGAGCCGGAGCGGGGCATCCCTCGGAGCACGGCTTTCCCCCTGCATCCCGCAGTGCCGCTCGCACCCGGGCTCTGCGGGCAGCGCTGGGCGGCCGAGGCGCTGCGTGCTCCTGGCCACAGAAGGGGGCCGTCCCCTGCCCCAGCATCTCCCCCCCCAAACACTCACCCGTGGGGTCCCACCGCCCTCAAAGCGCCGTGCCAGAGGTGCCACCGGTGACCCATTTCCTGGTACAGTGGGCTGCTCGGTGGCACGGGGACACGTGGCTTTACAGTGAGGGGAAAAGCTTGGCCCGGCCCCGCTGAGGGGGTATTTTTAACGGGTGACACTGAGGTGAAGCAGCCGGCCCTGAGCTCGGGGGCTATTTTGGGCGGGCAGGCTGGGTGCAGGGCAGCGGGAGGGGGCGGCGGGGGCCGAGGCAGCTGCCGAAGTGTCGTGGCCCCACAGCTGCCGGGATCCTCGGGCCGGCGGGAGAGGTCAGCTGCCGCAGCCCAGATTCTCCACGGCTGTTTCATCCTCTCCAAAATACTCGGCTGACAGGACAGGAATTGCAAAACACACTCCCCCCCCCTCCCAAATGCCTATAAATAGCGCTTGCCCAGCGGCTGGGAGGTTAGAGAAGTTTCTCGGCTCCGAGCTCAGGCATTTATTGCAGCTCTCACTCGGGAGCAGCGGGGAAAGTCTCACGTAAAGTGCTGGGGAGCGAGAGGGGAAGAGATAAGCTTTTTAATCTCGGGATATTAGGGTTTTTTTTGTTTTTTTGGTTTTTTTTCCCTCTCCTGCCGAGAAGTTTTATTTTCCTCTCCCCAGTCCCTGGGATCACAGCCAGACAGGAAGCGTTTTCTCACGGCCAGAGAGCTCCCTCCATCCTTCCTGCGCTCCTCCAGCTCCCAGTGATTCAGCCCTGAATTGATTTTCTCCGCCGTCCTTCACCTGGTGCCGGGGAAGGAGGGGACCACCCGCAGCCGCGCGCCCGCATCCCGCCCGGGGTGGATGCGTCTCCTCCGGGACGGGCTCCTCGGGCAAGTTCGCAGCCAGGAGCGGCCGCGCAGAGGCTGAGGCTCCGTGGGAGAGCCCCGGGGACACGCTCGGACCCCTCCAGAGGAAGCCATGGCCGACAGCCAGATGCCCTTCTCCTGCCATTACCCCGGCAGGCGCAGTGTCCGCGACCCTTTCCGGGAGCCCGGCTTGACCTCGCGCCTGCTGGACGATGATTTCGGGATGTCACCCTTCCCCGGGGACCTGACGGCGGACTGGCCCGACTGGGCTCGGCCCCGGCTCACCACCACCTGGCCGGGCCCCCTGCGCACCGGCATGGCCCGCGCCTCCGCCATGGCCCCCGGCTACGGCGCCCGCTTTGGGGGCTACCCCGAGAGCCGCAGCCCCGTGCCCTTCCCTCGCGAGCCCTGGAAGGTGTGCGTCAACGTGCACAGCTTCAAACCCGAGGAGCTGACGGTCAAAACCAAGGATGGCTATGTCGAGGTGTCAGGTGAGAGCGAAGGGAGGAGGAGGAGGATGGGGCATGGAAAGCAGTCGGTCCTGCTCTGCCTGTGCTGGCTCAAGAAATTGCCATAAAATGAAAAATCACCTTTATTTTAAGTCAGCGGCGCCAGCCCTGTGCTCGGGAACAGGGCCAGCGCTGCGGCAGGGCTTTGAGGCAGCCCCCGCGGGCGGTTTGGGGGTGCCACGGGGGGGACCCGGCTCACAAGCCGTGGTGGTTTGCTGCAAAAATGAAAAGGACAAGCCTCCTTTGGGGTAAATCTCTGTGATTCTGTCCCGGCTGGCCGGGGAGGCACTGCTGCGGGCGGCGGCATCCTGCAGCGAGCTGCCAAGAGGGGCCCCAGCTTGGCTGGGTTAATTATAGCCGGGGTGAGGCCGGTGCGGAGGGAGATTCCCTTTAAAGGGGCCAAGAGAGAGGCAGCTCCGTGCCGGGAAGTGGGGGGCAGCCGCGCCGTGGCCTCCACCCCAACTGAGCCCCGAGAGGTGCCAGCCTGGGGATGAGCTGGCCAGAAGCACATCCCTAAAAATTAAATTAATGGTGGGGACGGTGGGTGCGGGGTGCACCACATCTGGGGTGTCTGTGGGCACCCAGCCCTGAGCATCCCGCCATTGCCCCCCACTGCCCTGGGCCGGGGTCCCCGGGGGGGCTGGGGGCTGCCGTGCTGCATGGCCCTGGGTGTTTATTTGGGGCTCACGGCATTGCGAGGGGAAAACCGCAGGTCAGGGAGGTCCCGGCAGCCGCCAAAGTGGGTTTTAACTTCAGAGATGCTCCAGGCACAGGGACCCCCAGCCTGACAGCGTGGTGGAGGGGACCCCAGACTGGGGAGCGGGACAAGAGGGGACGCTGCCACCTCCAAAGGTTTTATTATGTTTGGGGGGCTTTTTCTTGAGCCCCAGCTCTTGGCAGCCTGCGAGAGCCCAGGCTCTCACTGGAAATATGGGTGTGCTGTGTCCAACACCACCTTCCCGACACAGCTGAGGCTCCCCGAGCCCTCCCCAGAGGGGAGGGTTTGCACTGGAGAAGAAAAACAACTCCCCTGAAAACTTTCCTGTTGGGTTTTGTTGCTGTTTGGTGGGGAAAAAAATAATTTCCCACTGAGGTGGTGACAAAAATAATTTCCCACTGAGGTGGTGACATGGGGTGTTGCCCTTCCCCGCAGGCAAACACGAGGAGCAGCAGGTGGAAGGAGGGATCGTCTCCAAGAACTTCACCAAGAAAATCCAGTAGGTACCAGCTGGTCCCGGGGTGTCCCCCCTGCAAAGGGGCTGGGGCGTGGGGAGGCTGCCACATCCCCTTGACCTGCAGCCAAATGTGGGGCCCCGTCCCTGCGGCGCAGGCAGGTCCCTGGCAGCAAAGGGCTGAGCTGTGCCAGTCCCCGCACCCCGGCTCACACACGCAGGGACTGCTGTGCTTGTTTTCACCCCCAAAATCTGCCCTTCTGCAGCATGCGCCTGGCTGGTTCGGGCCACGCAGTGGTTTCCTGAGGGAGGTAAAAGAGGGGGGAGGTGTT